GTAACTCACCCCATCACTGCGTAACTCACCCCATCACTGCATAATCACCCCATTGTTGTGTAACTCACCCCACTGCGTAACTCACCCCATCACTGCATAAATCACCCCATCACTGCGTAACTCATCCCACTGCCTAACTCACCCCATCACTGTGTAACTCACCCCATCACTGCGTAACTCACCCCATCACTGTGTAACTCACCCCGTCACTGTGTAACACACCCCGTCACTGCTTAACTCAACCCACTGTGTAACTCACCCCATCACTGCGTAACTCACCCCATCACTGCATAACTCACCCCATCACTGCGTAACTCACCCCGTCACTGCATAACTCAACCCACTGTGTAACTCACCCCATAACTGCGTAACTCACCCCATCACTGCGTAACTCACCCCGTCACTGTGTAACTCACCCTGTCACTGTGTAACACACCCCGTCACAGCTTAACTCAACCCACTGTGTAACTCACCCCGTCACTGCAAAACACACCCCGTCACTGCATGACTCACCCCACTGGGGAACTCACTCCACTGTGTAACTCACCCCGTCACTGCGTAACTCACCCCACTGGGGAACTCACCCCGTCTCTACGTAACTCACCCCGCTGTGTAACTCACCCCATCACCGCGTAACTCACCCCATCACTGTGTAACTCACCCCATCACTGTGTAACACACCCCACTGCATAACTCACCCCACTGCGTAACTCACCCCGTCACTGCATGACTCACCCCACTGTGTGACTCACCCCGTCACTGCATGACTCACCCCATCACTGCATAACACACCCCACTGCGTAACTCACCCTGTCACTGTGTAACTCACCCTGTCACTGTGTAATTCACCCTGCTGTGTAGCTCACCCCACTGTTTAGCTCACAGAGCTCCATCGTATGGTCTAGTCTCACTCTTCTAAATACACTATTGAGTCACTGAATCTTCAATTAGCCTGAGCTTTTCCTAACCAGAAACTCTTCTGGGAGCCATGAGCATGTCTGTAGGCTCAGCTGTGGTTTCCAGATTCCAGGAGCACTTGCCCTGTCAGGGGCCAGGATACTGCCAGACTTGTGTTCACCACAGGTGTGTTGCCACTGCAGCTGTTCCAGTCCATGACACAGCCTTGTAATGTCAGCGTGGATGTGTAAGTGTGCAGGGAACAATCAGTGCCAGTGTAGAGACCCTGGATGTGGCCATCCACTCTCAATGGCCCTAAGTCCTTCCAGACCCTCCATGTTCATTTCCCAGGGAACCTCTGGTTTGGAACCGTAACTGCAAAGAGGTAAGTCACAGAAGCTCGGTGGGATGATCTCACTTGCTTGCCAAGAACATACAGCTCCTCTAAAATTCTCTCGTAGTTTCTACACCCAAGACATGGGCGAAAAATTCAGAAGCCACTGGGACCGCCTTGGAAGAAGGAACTCGGCCAGGGCCTTTGTCAGTCATCCCGAGTCACTAGCACTGAGGCGTCCTGTGCCAGGAGAGGGGGTCTTGGCCCAGAGCTCACCCTCCCCGCTGAGGCACGCTTGGCCCTCGGAGCTAAGATGCTCTGCACTGCACTTTTAAGGAGCAGGGATCCTGCCAGGGAGGACTCTTGAACAGAACCTCAATAAGCAGTGATTTACGGTCAGCCCCTGCATGCAGCAGATGCTGTGGGCCTGCTGAGCTCAGGAGCAGTGCACCTGCACGCCTGCCTCCCGGCCTGACCCAGCTCCAGCCTCTGTGCTCCATGCTGACTCCTGTCCCACCAGCACCAGCCGCCAACAGTGGGGGAGACATTCTTTCCACCGTAAGGATTTGTTTCCTGTAAACACAATTAGCACATAAAACTGTGCATCACGTGGTGAAAGGAATTAGGAAAATATGCTGTGTTTACTTTGTGGTTCCAAGAGCTGATATCTTTACACCTTTGATCTGCCAAGAGCCCAGATCATGGGCAGGAAAGGAGGGATAAACCTGGCCCAAGCAGCCAATGGATAAACAGCCGCCCGGCCGTCTCCTCACAGTGCAACTCAACTGCTGCTCCCGAGCTGTGCTTCCGAGTGTGGGGCTGTGTGGCCTCTGCCCCCAAGTGGAGGCTCCTGCAGAGCACAGCTGGGCCAGGAGCTGGGTGGCTCCACTGATGCTTCACTTCTGTACCTCAGTTTCCATCCAAAGAAGAGGAGACAGCACAGGGCTCTTGAGCAGAACAAGACAGTTCCCGTGAGATACTGGGGGCAGTGTCAAATGATGCCAGTGACTGAAAAGGAAGCAGCCTGTGTTACCAGGACCACATGACCTCCCCACTGCTTTCCAGAAGGTTCCTGAATAACCCACCCCTTATTTACATGTAATTAGGTGGAGGTATAAGCAGAGCCAGCCAGCAATCCAAGGGGGTCCCTCTGCCTGTGGACGTCCCTGCTCTGTCTCTGCAGCAGCCACTGGCTGTGCCCTGTTGCCCCAATTACCTCTTCCTCCACCATCGGCTCAGGCAAGACTCTGTCCTGATCAACGCTTCCTCCACCGTCAGGTCACATGTGACTCTCCCCTGATCAACGCCTCCTCCACCATCGGCTCACGTGTGAATCTCTCCTGATCAACCCCTCCTCCACCGTCA